AACAGATGAGGGACGTGTTCACGAAGACGTGCCACCAATCCGTTCTCTCTCCCGGTCATGACCGACGCCCCGTCCGTGCTGATGCCGACGATCTTCAACACATCGACGGCAGCGGAGCGAAGATGGTTCAGAAGCACCTCAAACAAGGACCCTGCATCACACCGCTCGACCGTCAGCAAAGTGAAAAACTTGCATGCACCTTGGCGGTTCTTCAGAAATGTAAGGTACACAATCATGTGTTTCCCTCGCGTGCGGTCGGTGCTCTCGTCGCACTGGATGCCCAGGAACGGTGATGCCAGGACGTGGTCCATGTGCACCTGGGTGAGGTAAGTGCTCATGCTGTGGACCATCTGCTGGAGGCCATAGCTGCAACAAAGGACGGAGAAATTATTAGTACACGATAGTCAAGCAAGTTGTTTGACGTGCATGTTTAAATTTGCAAACAATTTGAACCATCACTTACCGCGTGAGATAAACGCCGTACGACTGCCGGGGAATGTCTGGCGTGTCCTGCTCTGCAAGATGCCGCATCAGCTTAGGAAACATGCTAATCGGCGCGTCGCACTGGCACAGGAACTGAGTCACCGCATCAGCCGTATCGCGCGGCGGCCCTCGACGTCGGAGTTGATGAAGTCCGAAATCACCTGCTGCCCCTCGCGGATATCAGAATAGTAGATTAATCTTAGGTGCCATGGCTAGGTTTTCAGGAAGACGAGAGTAGCGAGGGAAAAGTGTCACCAACAAAAGAGGGGCTTCACTATAGAGCGAGCAGTACAAATAAGCAAGAATGAAGAAAGGTGCACCACCAAAAAGAAATTTATATGACTACAGTGTTCGACACTACAGGCAGTTATAGAACAATACATAGAATTATATATTATTCTGACACGCCCCCATAAGTGCCTGTAGGGAAGAATGTCCACTCAACGCCCCCATAATGGGGTACACCAGACAGGGTGCAGCAGAAGAAACAGTAGCAGGCAAGAGCAGTAGTAGCCGGCGCAGTAGTGGCAGATACAGCTGTAGCACACCCCCCCAGCCAAGGTAGAAGCAGTAGCAAATGTAGGGGCGGCAAGTCGCCTGAGGAGCAGGCTCTGTGGTCGCAACGTGCAGCAGGACAGCAGCGGCTTGACGGCAGCACCTGCAGGCCCCAGCAACAGACAGGAGAAACAAGGGCAGGTGGCGGCAGGGGCAGCAGCAGGAGGTGCCACGGTAGCAGCGGGCGTCAGCAGCAGATGCCCGGCTGACTTCCGCCACCCCCTCTCACCCCCCCACAGCTGCAAGCGCGGCAGTGAGAGAGAGAGGAGGGGGGACGGCTGTTGGTGCTGCAAAATCTCTCTCGCCACCCCCTCACATTCCCCCCCATCCCCCAGAGCGACCAGCGCTGCAGGGAGAGAGAGGAGAGAGGAGGGCGTCGGCGGGTTCCTGCGGGTGCGCTCCCGCCACTCCCTCACCCTCCCCCCCACAGCAACAGTCGCGTATGGGGCGATAAAGGGCGACGGCAGGTGCTGCTGGCGGCTCACAGCAGCCACCCCGTCACACCACCTCCCCCACTGCCTGCCACGCCCACGACCTCCCCCCACAACAGGAGCACACACGACAGTAGCAAGTGCGACAGCTGCAGCGGGACCAGGGGGAGGGTGGGCGGGGACATTTGCTCGAGCGCGACGAGCGGGACAGAGGGCCGAAACGGAGGCGAGACGAAGCGGCGACGGGGCAGCGTGGCCGCGAACGACGGGGTGACTAGGCAGTGCGACGAGCAGAGCGCCGCCTTCGCCTCGTCGATCGCGCAGACGATTATGACCGTCGCGGATTTCAACACGACGGTCGCACTGACGGCACGATCGCAGCAGAAAATCGTTGGGAGGGAGGGCCGCCATTACAGGGTCGAAAATCGGTGGGCCCATTGATCGAAAACTAGCTCTGATACCATATCAGAATAGTAGATTAATCTTAGGTGCCATGGCTAGGTTTTCAGGAAGACGAGAGTAGTGAGGGAAAAGTGTCACCAACAAAAGAGGGGCTTCACTATAGAGCGAGCAGTACAAATAAGCAAGAATGAAGAAAGGTGCACCACCAAAAAGAAATTTATATGACTACAGTGTTCGACACTACAGGTAGTTATAGAACAATACATAGAATTATATATTATTCTGACAGCGGATTCCCGCCGCAATCTTCATCTGGCGGTCCACCGCCACCATGTGTGCGCCCGTATGCTCGTGCGCCCGGAACGACTGCGTCTGCAAGTCACGGCCTCCGTCGTCTCCCTGCATGGCGTACCTCGTGTTCCCCTTACCATATGACATGCAGATGCTGCACTTCACGTACGGAAAACCGTCCTTGGTTTTCCCAAACACAAGCCAAGTATCCCGCCCACTTCGTCTCGTAATTAATACTCGCCTCCAGGTACATCTGCTCTCGCAGCTGCGTCTTGGTGAGTGCCGGCGAGCCGGTATCCGTGCGCACCGGGATGTCACCTTCTTCCGCCAGCTCAGCTTCTTTCTGTGCATGCTCATCGGGCTTTTCCGGCGGTGGAATACGGCGGCCTCCCACCAGCAGAGTACTATGCGCCCACTTACCAGATCGTGCACGCTTGGGAGCGGAAGTAGCCGACGGCGGGCCAAGGGACACCCGCACCGTGCTTGGAGTAAGAGTGGGCGAGGGCGGTGGAGGATCTTTGCTGCAGCCAGCAACAGTTGGGGGAAGAGTGAACGGGACGGGAATAGGAGAAGCAGCAGGAGTAGGGGTAGCTACAGGGGCAGAGTCGTGAACGGTAGACCTAGGCGGTTCAGGTGTGACGGGAGCAGCCGTAGGTCTAAGAAAATCTAGCCCAGAGCGGGGAGCATCCGAAGCTTTCTCCGGCTGGGACGGCGCTGTTGGTTTCGCTGTTACAGGCAGCTCGTTGGGGCCAGTGTCCGGAGCAGCTTCGTCGGCCGCCATGGCCTCCATTGGTGGCTAAACTGAACGAGAGGAAAATGAGACAATGAATGCACGTAATGGAAAGAACACACCAGTGAACAAAGGAACGTTGGCTGTTGGTATGGGGAGGGAAGGGGAGGTTGGAGATGGCGGGAGCACGAAACCACCGCGCCGCGATTCCACGGACTTGATGGCAACATTCGACGATGACTTCGTCGTTGCATTCAAGGCCGAATTCATTCACGGACTCCTTGGCTGCCACCGCATCTGTCAACAGGCCATTCTGGCCAATGGCAGACACATGCTGTGCACTGTGCGGTGCGCGTGGCAGCACCGTATCATTGATTTGGCTGCCTTGGCGCTGTTGCCAGCTGTGATGTACAGCACGTCAGTGTTTCCCTTTGTCGGTATTACGTCACGCAAGGGCGCGTGAAGGGGTACCTCACATGGGGCCACTCGAAGAAATGATTACGCACAAGGGGGTTATCGAAACGAAGCTTCTAGGAAACTTCGTCCCAATACCCTCGCATTCAGGGTCCACGGAACGCATACCCTGCATAGACAGAGTCCGCAAGTACACTACTCTGAGCCTAGTTACAAGAATTCAGAGTCCGTTAAGTAGCTTCTCTGATTGGATCAGAGTTCACAAAATACAAAACCTGTGTTTGCAGGGACCACCAAGTCAGAAGCCTATAATCACCCTGAAATCAGGGTAATTACACTGATATCGTTAGCCTTGGATGCACAGTTTGGTACGTTTATAACATATTTCTGTATTTGTCAGTATATAAGTGCATGCGCTTATATTTTTGACTCAATTATAAGCGCACCCTCTAAAAAGCACTGTTTTATTATACACACATGTGGGCTTATATCCGGGGACGGTAATATAACCGTGGGGCAACGCGTGACTATCCGTGATAACCGTGTGATCATCCGTGATAGAATACCTAGATTCTGTGACCGTTCTTGATAGTCGCGTGACCATCCATCATAACGAGCCCATGGTTGTAACTACTAGTATAATATATATATATATATATATATATATATATATATATATATATATATATATATATATATATATATATATATATATATATATATATATATATATATATATATTTCTGAACTGCCGAACTGGGTCGTGGTGTGCGGTTCGGTGAACGCGCCTCGCCAAGGCCCTGTTCGACTGGCGCATCAGTGGTGAGGCTCGGGAGCGGTGCAGGTTCGGATGTGGTGCTTGGGGATCAGCTCAGGTTCGGGTGTGGTGTTCGAACGAGAGGTAGTGGTTTGGGGTTCATCAAATTGGTCCAATTCGTCAGTTGTATGGGTTCATCAAGTTTGGCAAACAAGGTGGGTGTTCGACTTGGCGGGCAGTTGTATGGGGAAAGTTTGACAAACTCGGGGGATGTTCAACTTGGCCGGTACGTAGGCCCTGTTCGACAGGCTAACACTCTGCAAAGTGTTAGTGTTAAGTTAGTGTTAAGAGGAGGGCTCACCGCACCTTCTCTGAGCTTATCGACCGCTGAAGCTTCGTGAGTAGGAATCGGAAGGAGCGGGGCCCACAAGGCGAAGCTGCCCGCCCCCTTCAACCTGCCTTTAGGCGGGCACAGTAGAAAAATTTTGGGCGCTCGCCAAAGGGGTCTGGGTAACAACGCCGAAAAAGAAAAAGCCATCTCCACAAATCGCTCGCCTCACAAGAAAGATTGTTTTTGAATGGAAGAAGGTTTTCAAGCAAACGGGTTTACGATGACCTATTTTAGGGTCCACGGAGTGGGTGTTCCTCCCACTGCAAACACTTGGCGAGTCCTTTGGCAAACCCCACTTTTGGGGGGCGAGGGTTAGGCTAGGCGAGGACTAGACCTTTGCCCGTGCGGGAAGGCTCGCGGTACTTTCTATGAGGGCGAAGGGGTCAATTTTCGGGTGCGTTCGACAGGCTAACACTCTGCCAACAGGTTGCGGGGGTTAAGGCCCCATTCGCCCATTTTACGGGCTGACCGTGGGAAAAAATGTGAAAACGAAAGAGCTGCGAGGATTCTGCAGCCGTTGGTGTTAGCCTGTCGAGCAGGGCCATAATGCTGCCCCACATGAGCAGGTGCTGCCTCGCATCAGCTGGTGCGTGCATGGTGCTAACTCTCCACGATGCACCCATGCGCGCATCAGTGGTGCGTCGGTTTGCCAGAAGAGGACGGTTCCGGGAACGCACATTTGGTTCCCAAACCTGGGGCCAAAAAGGATGTTCGGCTGGCATCGTGCACCAGTTCGCTTCGGTGCTAATGCGCCTAACCCAGACCCGAATCAGCCTACCCCAGATCCGAGTCAGCTGTTGTCCACTTATCTCAGAACGCATCACCTCTCTCGATTTTGCGAGGGAATTGTATCGATCGTAAAAAACCGATCGCACACCGTACTTAATACCTGCTTGTTACATTCGATCCTGCACAGGATCGATCGTGCAAAATCGAAAGAGGTGACCGTTCTCAGAAGCACGCTTCCCAACTTCCCAATCCAATTCAGCAGAGAAGTCAATCCGAGTATGCCTGTTTCTCCCAGCACAGCTAAACAAGGCGAGACTCACAAGGAACCAGCCATACCTCCCAAGACAACCACGCACCTCCCACGACTTCAATAGCTAGCACCATCCCAGCAACGACTTCATTAGCGACGTCGTAGTCACACGACGTCAATACGCAACCATGGCAGCTCATAGTCTTAGTCGTTCATTATACACCTGCCAAGTCAAGTCACATTATAAGGGCCCTTTGCTGTCGTTGGGCCCTCTAAAAGGCAGCTCAGTTTGTCCAGCAGAGGCGGTTAGTCCGACAGAGGCGCATAAACTGCTCTGTACTACTACGGTTACCCAAGGCCGCGGAACAAATGCGACTGCTACTAGCTCATCCCTTCAATAGTACTGCGAGTGCGAGTGCGACTGCGAGTGTGACAGCGAACGCGAGAGCGGGTGCGAGTGCGACTTGCGCGTTGCGACTGCGAATGCGATGGCGAATGTGAGCGCGAGAAGTTTATGCTTAGAAGCACCTCGCACACGATTAAATCTCGCTGCCCGCCTCAGCGGTCACCGTCTGCCCACCCTGCCGTCTTTTGCGGGGCCTTGAGCATCCCGCACCTCACTCATCTCCGCTTCTTAACCATTCCGCACCTCACCGACCCCCCCCCGCACTCATTCCCGCGCCTTTTTCTCATCCGGGACCCTTGAGAACTCCGCGCGTTGTGCTCGTAGCGCCGCATTGCCCACATTCCTAAACTCTGCACGGCGGCGTCACAGTAATCGCTTACCTCCTTCCCTCTCCCCTCTCCCCCCACCGCCCCACTCCACCATCTCACTCCCTGCCCTCATCCTTCCGTATACGCCCCTCCCCTGTTTACACATACAGACTGGTGAGCGGTCCAGAGTGCAACCGCTGCAGCGCGGACGAGCATGGAGGAGGGTTCAAGCAGGGGGGTTTGCGCACGGACCTCTGCTTTCCTGGCACGTGTGGGCGGCTGTGTTTGCCGTGGCTGCTGCTCTCAGCAGCAGCAGTGTCCGTTTTTGCCGCCCGGTTGCAGCGTCCGTCTTGCCAAGCCAATGTATGTTCTACCAGCATTCCGTTTCTCCTCCCCCTTCTGTTCCTCTTCCTCCTAGTCTCCTCCACCCTCTTTCCTTTCCTTCCCGTGCCAATTCCCTCGTATCCAGAAGCTTTTCACTCATTCCCCTGTACCTCTTTCCCATCCTCCCAATCTCCCCCGCCCTACTTCCCTCCCCTCATTTCCCTGTGCCTCTTCTTTCCCATCCCCCCCCTTACTTCCCCCTACTTCCCTCACTTCCCCCTCGCATTCACCTACCCACGCCCGTCAGGGCAAGTGCTGGATGCGCTGAAGGCGGCGTGGGGAGGAGAAGGAGCGTTCCCAGCAGCGGCCACGTGGACAGCGGGAGCCATGTGCCAGACGCTGCTGGGCGTGACCTGTGATGCGAGCGGCGAGAACATCCTTGGCCTGTCAGTCACCCACCCGCCTCCCTCCCTCCCTGCCCGCATGCTGCGCTCCCTCCCTCCCTGCCCGCATGCTGCGCTCCCTCCCTTCCTGCCTGCCCGCCTGCCTGCCTGCCTGCCTGCCTGCCTGCCTGCCTGCCTGCCTGCCTGCCTGCCTGCCTGCCTGCCTGCCTGCCTGCCTGCCTGCCTGCCTGCCTGCCTGCCTTCCTCCCTCCTTCCCCTGCCCGCGTGTCGCCCTCCCTTCATGCCTGCCTGTCTGTCTGCCTGCCTCCTCCTCCTCCTCCTCCTCCTCCTCCTCCTCCTCCTCCTCCTCCTCCTCCTCCTCCTCCTCCTCCTCCTCCTCCTCCTCTTCCTCCTCCTCCTCCTCCTCCTCCCACCCTGGCGGACTTGCCTTGGAACTGGCTTGCCTTGCTCTGCCTTGGGTGTTGCCCACCTTGGGTGTTGCCCACCTTGGGTGTTGCCCACTTGAGCGTTGCCCACCTTGATTGTGATTTACGCGCGGAGCTAGGGGTGGCGCGTGCACTGCAGATAGCTGTTCGTGCAAAGTATGGGGTGCCATGCCATGCCGGCAATGGGCTCAGTTCGTGTGCGGTTAAGTGGGGTGCAGTGAAATGCAGTTTGGTAACCCTGTCGTTTTACCGCCTTCCCTTCCAGTGATGCCTCCTGGTAGCCTGCCAGCTTCTGCTCATCGAAGTCCCCATGTGCCATTGGAGTCCCCATGTGCCATCGGAGTCCCCATGTGCCATCGGAGTCCCCATGTGCCATCGGAGTCCCCATGTGCCATCGGAGTCCCCATGTGCCATCGGAGTCCCCATGTGCCATCGGAGTCCCCATGTGCCATCGGAGTCCCCATGTGCCATCGGAGTCCCCATGTGCCATCGGAGTCCCCATGTGCCATCGGAGTCCCCATGTGCCATCGGAGTCCCCATGTGCCATCGGAGTCCCCATGTGCCATCGGAGTCCCCATGTGCCAGCAGCTTCTTTCGACATGTCGCACAAACACTCCCAATGTGTGCGCCGTGCTTCTTCTTTTCTTCCCGTGTCCCTCATCGCATCTTGTCCCTCCCTCGTCTACCCCGTGGTGTGTGCAGGATGCTGGAGTCGCAGAACCTCACAGGGTCCATTCCAATGGCCATTACAGGCCTCGGTGCCCTGCAAATGCTGTGAGTGGCAGTAGCAGCTGGGCAGTGCTGCGAGTGCTGTGTGTGCTGTGGGTGCTGTGCTGTAGTGGGTCGAGGAGGCGAGGGGGAATGAACGGATCAACGTGTTGGGTGAATTTTGTGCACGGCTCCACTTACCTGTGCTGCGGCCACCTATGTTGTACACGCTGCATATGTGGTGCCTACTCATTCTCATATGCTTGCGCATGCTTGTGTGCGTGCGCGCGCACGCACGCGCGCGCGTGCGTGTGTGCGTTTCTGTGTGTGTCTGTGCGCATGCGTGCGTGCAAGCATGCACTTGTGCATTATTGTGTTGTGTGCGCGCATGTGTGCATGCATGTGTGCGTGTGTATACTGCGCCCTTGACAGAAACCTCAGGAACAACCAGCTCAACGGTAACATTCCAACATATATCAACTCCCTCACAGCTCTCACGCAACTGTATGCTCGAATCCTTCCCCTCTTCTTCCGCCCTCCCCTCATCTCCTCTTCTCCCGTTCCCTCCTCTCCCTCCCTCTCTCCGTCCTTTTCTCCCTCCCTCTCTCCCCCCCCCTCTCCCCCCCTCTCCCCCCCTCTCCCCCCCTCTCCCTCCCTCTCCCTCCCTCTCCCTCCCTCTCCCTCCCTCTCCCTCCCTCTCCCCCCCTCTCCCTCCCTCTCCCCCCTCTCCCTCCCTCTCCCTCCCTCTCCCTCCCTCTCCCTCCCTCTCCCCCCCTCTCCCTCCTCTCCCCCCTCTCCCTCCTCTCCCTCCTCTCCCTCCCTCTCCCTCCCTCTCCCTCCCTCTCCCTCCCTCTCCCTCCCTCTCCCTCCCTCTCCCTCCCTCTCCCTCCCTCTCCCTCCCTCTCCCTCCCTCTCCCTCCCTCTCCCTCCCTCTCCCTCCCTCTCCCTCCCTCTCCCTCCCTCTCCCCCCTCTCCCCCCCTCTCCCCCCCTCTCCCCCCCTCTCCCCCCCTCTCCTCCCCTCTCCCCCCCTCTCCCCCCCTCTCCCCCCCTCTCCCTCCCTCTCCCTCCCTCTCCCTCCCTCTCCCTCCCTCTCCCTCCCTCTCCCCCCTCTCCCTCCCTCTCCCTCCCTCTCCCTCCCTCTCCCTCCCTCTCCCTCCCTCTCCCTCTCTCCCTCCCTCTCCTCCCTCTCTCCCTCCCTCTCCCTCCCTCTCCCTCCCTCTCCCTCCCTCTCCCTCCCTCTCCCTCCCTCTCCCTCCCTCTCTCCCTCTCCCTCCCTCTCCCTCCCTCTCCCTCCCTCTCCCTCCCTCTCCCTCCTCTCCCTCCCTCTCCCTCCCTCTCCTCCCTCTCCCTCCCTCTCCCTCCCTCTCCCTCCCTCTCCCTCCCTCTCCCTCCCTCTCCCTCCCTCTCCCTCCCTCTCTCCCTCCCTCTCCCTCCCTCTCCCTCCCTCTCCCTCCCTCTCCCTCCCTCTCTCCGTTCCTCCCCGTGTGCACACCCACCATTCTTTCTCAATCACACACACACTAACGATTCTTTTTTCTCTGTGTCCACGCCTCCATATCTTTCACTGCAACGCGAAACACATTGGATTAATTCTGAGTCGAGAAAGTATCAGCCCGTTGTTGTATCCACCTCTGTGCCTGCCTGCCTGCGAAATTCGCCCCTGTAATCCCCAGTTGAGCTGTCAAATCGACTGGAATCGATCAAAAGGAGAAGTATTATTGTGACGCATCTCCTCGTGTCTTGCTCGTGGCGTTCTGGCTTCGTGCTTTGTGACTTTATGGCTTCATTTCATGGCAGGGATTTGAGTGGCAACCAGCTTACTGGCTCTGTACCTTCGGGTCTCTCCTCTCTGACCGGGCTTCAAGAGCTGTAGGGACCACACCGCACCGCTATACCATGCTATACCCATGTCTCCCCATTACCTCACACCATGCCATGGAGAATCGCTGTCATCCCATTCCTGCCATGCGATGCCATGCCATGGCATGCCATGCCATGCCATGCCCTGCACTCCTGAGTCCCATCCGACCATGTGACCATGTGCCACTGTGCCTGTCTCGCTTGACATGCGCATGCCCCTCTGGTCCCATCCATCCCATGTGTCCCATCCATCCCATGTGTCCCATCCATCCCATGTGTCCCATCCATCCCATGTGTCCCATCCATCCCATGTGTCCCATCCATCCCATGTGCCCCATCCATCCCATGTGTCCCATCCATCCCATGTGTCCCATCCATCCCATGTGTCCCATCCATCCCGTCCGCTCCTTGTTGAGCGGACCATGTGGCACTCCCGAGTCCCGTCCGACCATGCGACCAAGTGCATGCACACTGCATTGTTCCCTTGCATCGCATTCCACCCCATTGCATCCCCTCGTTTCCCTGGCAGGTCATTGAGTGGCATACCCATCACATCGATACCCGCTAAGCTCAGCCCACTCACGGCACTCACCGCACTGTACATACTCCTCCCCCCTCTTTCTCCCTACTTTCCCCTTTTCTCTCTTCTCGCACCCTCTTTTCTCAACTCCTGCACATCCATGTCTTTCGTTGGTTGCTCATGGCTCGCAGTTAGGGCAGCTAGTGCTTCTGCTGCGGCTTCTGCCGCCCCTGCTGCTGCCGCTGCTGCTTCTGCTGCTGCTGCTGCCGCCGCCGCCGCCGCCCCTGCTGCTGCCACTGCTCATGATCTGTCCATGCATTCTGCTATAGAGTCATTCTCGTTGCCCTCCTTCCTCCCTCCCTCCTTCCCATCTGCCCATCTGCTCTCGGGTCAGGCATGCGTGCAACACAAAAATGGCTGGTGCCTTTCCCACGGCTCCCATTTTGTCTTTTACTAGACTTAGGCACCTGTAAGTTTTCCCCTCTGTCCCCTCCCCTCCCCTCCCCTCCCATCCCCCCACCTCCGTCCCTTCTTCATCCTGCTAGGCTCATGTGAGTTCTCAAAACGCAGTTTGACTCGATTATCTGGACTGATAAGGAATGGCTGCAAGGGAATCTAATTATCAGGGTTACAGGGGACGTCCAAAGCGTACATACATGCATACATGCATGCATGCATCTATCTTGGTGACACGACTCCCATTTAGGCGATACAGTGCGACTTGCAGACAGACACTCTCTCTTTTCTCTCTCTGCTCTCCTGAAGCTCCTTTGTGTTGATATGGCACTGGTTACACTCATACACTAGCCTATTCACAACGAGTCATTAAGTATGACCATCACCCCATAATTACTTATATTATACCAACTCTGCCTGTCCTATGGGAGCTCACACACGTGCTCCAATGCCCATTCCTCCCCTTCAGGAGTCTTTGTGGCAACCAGCTTGGTCCCAATCTTCCCAGCCAGCTGACGAAATTGTCTGCACTGACCAACCTGTGAGTTTGGGCTGACTGCAACAACTGATCCCACGAGCGGTGTCGAAATATCCATCCACCACCTCCTCTCGCTCACGCATGCCATGCCACACGTCACATCTCGGCACGCCATGCCACACGTCACGGCATTACCGCCTGTCGAGAATGTTGAACAGTTGTGTCGGGCCGTCTCACAATCGAGACCGGTTCATCTCATCTCATCTCGTCTTGTCTTGTCTCGTCTCGTTGCGTCTCGTCTCGTCTCGTCTCGTCGCGTCTCGTCTCATCTCATCCCATCTCATCGTAACTTCCCGCCTGTCCACTCCGCTGTGTCAGCAACCTGGCCGACAACAGCTTCAAAGGGATTGTCCCTGCTACCATCCTCTCAATGCCTTCCCTGCTAGAACTGTACGCGCTGTGCCTCTCTGCATGTGAGCCTACCTCTCATCACCATACCTACCATGCCATCTCATCACCTTACCTCTTCATCACAATATGTACCATACCTCTCATCACCATATCTACCATACCATCTCATCACCATACCTCTCATCCCCACATTCATCAGTGTGCATTCTCCCCATCTGCTACGACTTACTGACACTGCATGATGACCATCCATCCTGTCTCTGCCTGGAGGAAACCTGGTGCCCCACAACATGGTGCTGCTGCTGTTGCTTGGAGTCATTTTGGGGATCCCGAGAAATGTACCACTTGCTTTTCTCGCCCCCTGCCTCTCTCTCCTTGTCAGCAACCTTAATGGCAATGGATTTGTTGGTGTCAACTCAAAAGTCATTCCAGGCCAGCTCAAAGCTCTGTGAGTGACATGGCAACCTGCATTCATGCAGTGACAAATACTGTCTGCTACATGTCTTTTCCATTTTCCTCCATGTCTCCTCCATATCTATTTTCGTTTTTTTGGGTTGCGAAGCAACCCTTTACGATCGATTTTGCAAGATTTTATTTTCATGTTTATCATTTTTAATAGAACATGAAAATAAAATCCGTAAACTACAGTACCCTTCCCACACGTGTGCATGTTGAAGAATTTTAAATGTTGTTCACAATATATTAAATCATATGTTTTTCTGGTCAGTGGTTTGGTGAATATATGCTGTACTGTTATATATTAGTATGTGTTACTATTAAATGGTGCTGTGGTAATGATAAATAGATGCATGATGCATAAATAATGCTATATGATGCATAATGTTTAATAGTGTGATGTCATGAATCATGATGCACATGCATGCACACAATAAAATGCGTGACAGTTAACGACCCAAAAACTAAGCTACCGCCATCCCCTGCCTAGCATGGGGGGGAGGTCAATAGCATAGATTTTGAATAATCAACAATCACATGAAACAACACACTCTGTGAAATCTAAAAAAGAAGTCAACTCTATCAAATCCAGTTCGAAGTGGTCGCACACGAGTCACTGAGTGCGCCAATGAACCTTATGTGAAATGATAGATCTGAGCTTTCTTTTTAAAAATCACAGACATGCATTGTTAATGTAACCAGACATGGATATGAATGCACATGCACACATACAAACATGCAAACACAACCACACGCATACGCACACAAACCTGAACACTCGAACGAAATAAACAGAAACATGCAAGGAAATATACCAACACAAAACAATTATCCTACAGAACATCAGCCACTGGTATAGTTTCATATTCCAAATGAAAGTGGACTTCTTGAAGATTACAGCAAAGTCTCTGAGGAGAAAACAGGGAGAGAAATGGGAAATAGAATGGGAAGAAAAAAAAAAAGACTGTGAAATAACCGATGAAAACGATTTGGAGATTGAAAACGACGGATGAAAACGGATTTGTAAGAATCAGCAGATACACATTTGAACATCAGTGAATAAAGTTGGAATCAAGAACACAAGACTTACACACCACACACTAATCTGCTGCTGCCTATAAAGAAAGGGTAACGAAGAGCTATAGAAAGTGGGCGGGAGAGAACTACATGAACAAAAAAAAAACGGTAGTTTGGATGCAACCAGAAACGGTAGCTTTGATTGAAACGAGAGTGATAGAAAGTGAGAGAGAACGAAAGAGAGAGAACGAGAGAGAGAGAGAGAGTACGAGAGAGAGAGAACGAGAGTGATAGAACGACAAAGAGAGAACGAGAGTGAGAGAACGACAGAGGGAATACGACAACGAGAGAACGAGAACGAGAGAGACAGAACGGAAAAGAGAGAACGAGAAAGAGATAAAGAGAGAGAGAGAGAGAGAGAGAGAGAGAGAGAGAGAGAGAGAGAGAGAGAGAGAGAGAGAGAGAGAGGGAGAGGGAGAGGGAGAGGGAGAGAGAGAGAGAGAGAGAGAGAGAGAGAGAGAGAGAGAGAGAGAGAGAGAGAGAGAGAGAGAGAGAGAGAGAGAACGCCTTGTTCAAAGGCTAAGGGGTTAGCTGCTGTTTTGCTGTAGCCTTGCCGTGAGATTGCTGTAGCCTTACCATCTGTGTACCTTGCTGACATTAATACCAAGGCCCGTTCGAGAGAGAGAGAGAGAGAGAGAGAGAGAGAGAGAGAGAGAGAGAGAGAGAGAGAGAGAGAGAGAGAGAGAGAGAGAGAGAGAGAGAGAGAGAGAGAGAGAGAGAACGAGAGAGAGAGAACGAGAGAGAGAGAACGAGAGAGAGAGAACGAGAGAGAGAGAACGAGAGAGAGAGAACGAGAGAGAGAGAACGAGAGAGAGAGAACGAGAGAGAGAGAACGAGAGAGAGAGAACGAGAGAACGAGAGAACGAGAGAGAACGAGAGAGAACGAGAGAGAGAGAGAACGAGAGAGAACGAGAGAGAGAGAGAACGAGAACGAGAAAGAGAAAGAGAACGAGAACGAGAACGAGAACGAGAACGAGAACGAGAACGAGAACGAGAACGAGAACGAGAACGAGAACGAGAACGAGAACGAGAACGAGAACGAGAACGAGAACGAGAACGAGAACGAGAACGAGAACGAGAACGAGAACGAGAACGAGAACGAGAACGAGAACGAGAACGAGAACGAGAACGAGAGCGAGAACGAGAGCGAGAACGAGAGAGAAAGAAAGAGGGAGAGAGACATAGAGAGAGAGAGAACAAGAGCACAACGAGAATGTAAGAGAGAGAGAACGAGAGAGATAGAACGAGAGAGAGAGAGAACGACATGCTGCTCGGGTCGAGTTAATTTCAATCTGGCTATCAAGGCAAAGAAGGTTGGCGTTCAAATCGACCTAACAAAAACATAAGATGAAAGGAAGTAAAAACGTCAATGAAATATGCAAATACGAGACTGTAAGCATGCAACACAGGAAAGAGGCGATGAATACTTGAAGCATGGATGCAATCTAGTGAAAGACCTAAAGCTAAAGTATCTACAACAATCCTAGAACCTAAGCCTTAAAAAACCTGCGGCCAATACTATGTTAAACGACTACGATATGAGAGTGAGAAATGTTAGTCTAGCTTGTAACGATCTGATTTTGTTTGATTTGATTTTCTTACCTTGCACTAGTAGGTGGAGCGTGTCTGGCGGGGAGCTCATCTATCCAGAAGGAGCAGCGAGAAAAAAAAAAGGAACAAACAAACCCTAGAGTAGTTTCTGATTCGTCGCAAAGCTTCAAGTCCAATCGAATTATTTGTTCATGCACAACATCAGTACTGTTGCAGATGATTGAAATTGGACGGGAAATCGAAAAGTCTCCGGTTCGACTCCTGCAGATGCGATTTTTCATTACTCTCCAAGTGAGAGGAAGTACATCTTAGTGTCATACTACAGCATCATGTACAGATTTAGTTGTACAAATGTATGTAAATACGCAAAACGCTTCGCAACCCTAAGATGATTTCGTCGCCTCTTGTTTTTTTTTTTTTTGTTCTTTTTTCTTTCTTTCTTTTTTCTTCTTTTTGCATGGCTTCATTCACATGCATGCACCGCATTCGCAAGCATGCATTGCATTCACAAGCATGCATCGCATTCAAATCGCCAAAAAGAAGAAGAAAAAGTCACAAAAAGTATCACCAAAATTCGCAGTGCATCGCATTACCCATCTCTTGGTGGTCTGACGCCAATCTATCCCCTTGTCTCGCAGCAAATTGGGCAACAACAAACTCACAGCGGTTCCGACCATCCTTTCCTCCTTTGCCCCCTCCTTGCAACACCTGTAAGTGTTTCATGGATGCATATACATGCACAAGTGTGCGTACGCACTTAGACATGCGCTGCACACACACTTGCATTGGTCTGCTCCGCCCAAGCAGCTTTTGTTGGCTCAATTTTTCTTGTGCAGGTATGCGCGCATGCGTGAGACCACACATGTATGCTGTTGCTCCCATGCTGTTTCCATGCGTCCCGTGCTGGCACAACACCCGGCGTACGTGTGTGCGTGCATGCATGGCATGGCAGGGATGTGAGTGGCAACAGCATCGGAGTGACCCCTGAATTTCTTTCCACACTCACAGTCTTGCGCCACTTGTGAGTGTGCTGACCAGTTCAGTCCAGCAGTAGCGGAGGAGGTTTGGAGGTTGGAGGCTCTGACTGACTGATACCGTCATTGCAATGCAACAGTCAAATTAGTGAAATTATTAAAAAAATAAAATAAAATCAAAGGTGGTGATGCAGCATGCACTTGTCTTCTGCCAGTCCGCATTCTGTCATGTTCGTGTTTGCCTCTTGCTCGTCCCTACCACCGTGTTTGTTTGTGCGCCAGCATTCCACGCATGCGCCACATGTTTCCAAGAGATGTTTGGCTTTTCCCAAGCACCACATTCCACAACACCACCATCACCAGCTATCCTTCCACCCTCCCAAACTTTCACTTCCTCCTCCCCCCCATCACAGGGACCTGAGTCGCAACAGACTCATGAACAACCTTCTTAACTACACATCCCTCAAATCGCTCCAGCACTTGTCAGTCCTCCTCCTCCTCCTCCTCCTCCTCCTCCTCCTCCTCCTCCTCCTCCTCCTCCTCCTCCTCCTCCTCCTCCTCCTCCTCCTCCTCCTCCTCCTCCCCCTCCTTCCCTCCCTTTCTTGCCATGCATCATGCCCTGCTGCGCTATGCTCTCCCCTGCTGCCCTTCTGTTGCGCTGCAGCCTTGGATTTCAGAGGACCCTGTTCCCGTTCCCATCCCAGTCAGAGTAGCAGACAGCCGAGCTCTGTGAATGATTGCTGGGCGAACTTTCAACTCCGTTTGGCTTTCTGGCAGGGATGTCTCTCACAACATGCTCAATGGGTGGATTCCAGATCTCCGCACTCTCACCCTCTTGACAACCATGTGAGCCATGCTCCTTGCCTGTCCCCACCGCACTGCTCATCCCCACTGTTTCCAAAATGGTTCGTCCCGAACCCGTTTGAATGCGGTACTTGCTTGCTGAGCCTTGATCATGATTTATCAATCATAGATGATAAT